TGACTAGGCTGTATGACAGTTCTTCCAATTTTGACAGAAGCTGTCAAAAGTTAGTCAGGGTTAACAGGGCTGTGCTTACCTTTTTCATTTCTGGTGCCTAGGCATATGCCAAGCAACCTATCTCGTTTCTCACCTTAGTTTGTATCCAACTGCTAGGAGATCTGAACAAAGTGGTTTGCTAGGCCAGTTCAAGGGTAATTAATAGTCAAGCATTGCTGTGGATTTGGACTCACTTGGATAAGATCAGGTGTTGATGGCAGGTTTCTGTCCAAAAAGACGTTGATGAACTAGATTTGTTTTCACAGCAATTGATGGTAGTCACTTGGTCACCATTTAGCTTGTAATCTGGAATTAAAAACGTTGAATTAAAATTTTACTATTTGCCACATGAAACCGTAACATTAGCTTGGGTAGTGGATTGCTAACCCGGTGGTATTACATTAGGTCGCTACCTCTTAACCTGACTCTAAATTGGATTATTTTGATTTATGTTCTCTTGCTTTGAAATGGTCAAGTGGTCATTACATTGAGATGTTTAAAATGAATAAAGGATTTGATAAAGTTGATACAAAAAGAAACACTCCGCAGATGAGGAATCAGAACAACTAAGTACAGTCTTGAATTTAGAGCTGAGCCTTTTAAGAATAAAAATTAAAAAGCATCTTTCACGCAAGACCCGGAGAATATCCAGGCTTGGGCTGACTCGTGATAAGTAATATGTGCACCCCGCAAATGCCAGGCAATGACCGTTTCCAATAAAAGACAATATAACCACCACCCATTGACAATGAATGGTGCTGCCATTACTGAATCCCTCACTATCAACACCATGGTGGCTACCATTGGCCAGAAACTGATTGGACTAGCCATAGGGGCTACAGCAGTGGGTCAGAAGCTTGGAATACGACAGCAAGTAATTCAGTTCCTGACTTAACAAAGCTTGTCTACCATCTACAAGGCACAAGTCAGGAGTGTGATGGAATACTCTCCACTGCATGGATGAGTGCAGCTCCAAAAAGACTCTAGAAGCTTGATGCCAAGCAACCTACTTGATTGGCACCCCACCATCGACACTCAGTAGCAGTGTTACTATCAACAAGATGTTTTCCAGAAATACTTCAAAGATCTTGATACTGCACCTACCAAACCCACTAGCACCTCCATCCAGCAGGACGAGGGCAGCAGATACATGGGAACACCACCACCTACAAGTTCCCCTCCAAGGTACCCACCATCCTGACATGGAAGTAATTCACCGATTCTTCATTGTCACTGGGTCAAAATCTTGGGATTCCCTCCCTAATGGCATTGTGGGTCTATCTATAGAGCATGAACTGGAGAAATGCAGGAAAGCAGTTCACCACCACCTTCTCGGGCAACTCGGGACAGGAAACCGGACAACCCTACTCTTCTGTTCAGTTCCTGTGGTAGTATCAGAGAGCCTATTAGCCTTCTTGACTGCATGCTATATCTGCATGCCAGCTTCTCGCTCATGCAAGAGCACTTAAATCTCTCTGCACTTCGTAATTCAGCAATCAATCTCCTATACTCTGTTTTTCATTCTTCAAGCCAAAGTGGCCAACTTCATATTTTTCCATATTGTACTCCATCTGCCAGATTTTTGCCCACTCTACCAATCTGTTTTCAACTTCCTTGTGTCGTCTTCTTCAGAACACATTCTCCTATCTACCTTGGTATTTGTTGTCTGAGAACTTAGCCTCCTTTGACTTAGGTAAGAGTAGCAAAGGCATTGATGTCACTTGTAAATCATTGACGTTTAGCACAGACCGCTTTGGGACTGTACTGTTCACATCCTGCCAATCGGACAAAGGCCCATTAATGTAGTTCTTTTTGTTTTGGTGTCAGCTAGTCAATCTGCTTGTCATGCTAGTAGGTTGCCCCATACTAAAATTTTTCTTTTCCACGATAACTTTCATTTTAGCACCTGATCAGATGCTTAGGAGAGCTTGGAAAGAGTCACCATGCTCTGTCATACAGCAGTAAGTCTGCGTGCCAAAGAAGTTAATCCGAGTGTTCCCCAACCAGAAACCGTGGATGAACCAAAAGATCCACTCCTACTGAAGTCCATGTCTGAGGTGTTCAAGTCAGGTGACCCTTAGCTATACAGGAAATCTAGGGATGACCTTTGCAAAGTCACTAGGGAAGCCAGGAGACCATATCAGACTAACTCCATGAACGCATCTCGACTGTGGCAAGGCTTACATGATATAACGAGCTACAAGGCAAAGTAGAGTAGAATCGCTGCTGACAGTACACCCCTCCCTGATGAGCTCAATGCACTTGTACTTGTTTTAAACAGAAGGTCACTGAAATGATGTTTTCCCCCCAGATAGTCTCTGGTGCACCTGTACCATAGTCATTACCACAGATGTCAGATCACCCTTATTGAGGGTTAACCCACAGAAAGTGATTGCCCTGGGTAGAATCCCGGGCCGTGCACGTAGATCCTGTGTGGACCAGCTGGTGGGACTATTTGCAGACATCTTTAACCTCTCCTGACTACGATGTGAAGTTCCCACCTGCTTCAAGAAGATCACCATCGTACCGGTGCCGAAGAAAACGTACCTCAGTGACAACCACCCAGTGGCTCTGACATCCATTGTTATGAAGTACTTCGAGGGTTAGTAATGGCACATAACAATTCCAGCCTCCCAGATTGCTTTGATCTGCTACAATTTGCCTACTGTCACAACGAGTCTACGGCATCTCCCTGGCGCTACCCTCCTCCTTGGAACATCTGGATAACCAGGACATCTATGTCAGACTCCTGTTTATTGACTTTAGCTCCACCTTCAACACCATTATTCCAAACAAACTCATTATCTAACTCGGAGACCTAGGCACAATAGATTCTTGACCTGCTGACCCACACATCGCGTTCAGTAGAGGTAGGTGACAACATCTCATCCATGATGATCCTCAACACGGGTGCCCAGCAAGGCTGTGTACTTAGCCCCTTACTATACTCCTTTGTATACGCATCGCTGTGTGGCCCCATTCAGCTCTAACTCCATTTAAAAATTTGCTGATGACACCACTATAATGAATCAGATCTCAATGAGACAAGAGTACAAGAACGAGACAGCTTAGTGGCATTGCGTACAACAATTTCTCCCTCCACTGTCAGCAAAAGGAAGGAGCTGGTCATTGACTTCAGGAAGTGGAGTGGAGGACACACCCCTGTCATATCAACGGTGCTGAGATGGAGGTGCTCGAGAGCTTCAAGTTTCTAGGAGTAAATATCACCAACATTCTGTCCTTGTCCGTTCATGTCGATGCTACAGTCAAGAAAGCACATCAATGCCTCTACTTCCTCCAATGGCTAAGGAGACTTGGCATATCCACAATGACACTTAGCAATTTTTATAGATGCACTATAGAAAGCATCTTATTTGGATACATCACAGCTTGTTACGACAGCTGTTCTGCCCAAGACCACAAGAAATTGCAGTGACTTGTGAACACAGCCCGGTCCATCACAAAAACTAGCCTTCCTTCCATTGACTTTGGCTGCTTTCCCAAGGCAGCGGGAAGTGTAGACAATGTATTCACAGACCCCTCCCACACTTGTTGTACTGTCTTCACCCATTTCCATTGGGCAGAAGATAGAAAAGTTTGAAAATATGTGCCAACAGATTCAAGAACAGCTTCCTGCTGTTATCAGCCTTATAAACAAACCTCTCATAGAATAGAGTTGATCTTTCTCTGCACCTTCTCTGTAACTGTATTACTGTATTCTGCATTCTGTTCTATTACCCTGATGTCCCTATGTAAGATATGATTTGTCTGGTCAGCGTGCAAAACAATACTTTTCGCTGTATCTTGGTTCACGTAACAATAGATCAAATCAAACCAAAGGTGCCTTCTGGAAGTACAACTACGAGGTCCCCTTTTTAACACTGGTGTACGTTAATCCTTCAGAAAACTCCAATAAATTGATTTAAATATGATATCCCTTTGATAAAACCATGCTGCCTCTTCCTGATTGCCTTGAAGTTTTCTAAGTACACAGATTTGCTCAATAGAGATATTATTGCTCACACCTTCATCATCATCACAGATGTCAAACTAACTATTCAAAAGTTGCCTGTTTCCTACCTTCCTCTCCCCCTCTTGAATAGAGGGATTATATTGGCTACTTCCCAGTCTGATGGAACCTTTCCTAAATTGAGGGTATTTAAGGAAATTAACACAAATGCCTTTATTAGTCACCTCTTGTACCACCCTGGGAGATGTGTCAGCCACAGCTCCATTGGATTGATTAGTAATACTTTCTTCTTCTTTGTAATTTCCCTAAGTTCCTCTCTCCCTTCCACTGCCTTGTTTACAGCTAATATTGGAATTTTTTTTTTTTGCATCCTCTGTAGTGCAAATAGAAGGAAAATGTTTGTTTCTTTCATGTGTGGTTTACTTCTGATCTAATATTAACTTTCCATTCTCAGTCTTGGGAGGACCAATATATGCTGTAGTTTGTTTCTTTTTAATTGCCTGCAGAAAAACTTGGTATCTATTTTTACAGTTGTAGCTAGGTTCCTGTTCTAGTGTAAATTTCTTCCTCCTGATGAATCTTTTCAGTCACTCTTTCATAAGGATGTAAGCCATGGTGATTATCTGATTTGCCACTTATCTTTGCTCAGTTATGTACATTTTTCCTTAAGTTGGATGCTTTCCTGTTAGGTGGTATATGCTCTACATTGCATCCCTGATATTGAATGCTGCGGATGAGTAGCTGAGAAGCAATTACAGTTTATTTTTGCTCAAGTGATCTATCCATTTGGGAGGGATAGGTTTGGATTGAAAAGAAAAGAGGGATGAGAATTGTACACAACTATAACATCATTTAGGAAAGTGGAAATTCATTTGTCTTCTGGTTGTGTGAGTTTTATGAACAGTCTGATGCTTTTGTGATATGGACCATATGTGATGATCTAAGATGCCTAATATTGGACATGCTGAACAATGGACATGATATTTTTCAGGTTTACAGTTACGATTCATATAGTGGCAGTTATGCTGCTCAGCCACCTCCCGCTTCACAACAAGTTGTCTACACATCCAATGGACAGCCTTATGCAGTGGCCTATCAGTATCCCTACAATGGTGAGTCTGTATTTGTAACAGTGATTTCCATCTCTTTGTGTTTTCAGAAGCCATGACTTGATAGAGCGTGCAAAATATTTCTAACGGGAAAGCAAGCTGTTTGACTTGAAAATGAGGTTGTAAGCACAACGTCCATGTTCTAATATAATACATTGTGACTTTCAACATTTGGGTAAATCTTCTGATAAGCAGCCTGTGATGAGAATTGAACTGTGTACGTGCAGAAGCTCGTACATTTTCCCTCGTGATGCTTTCTACAAGGTCAGTCAGATCAACTCATGAAGTCTGAAGCTACAAGAACCCTGAAACAATAATACAACCCCATAGAAGCTGAATACCTGAAGGCAAAAATGGAATGTGGAGGAAGAAACGCTAACATTTCCGGTCATGATGTCCCTTCATCAGAACCTCTGTGTGGGTCAGTTTGGGAGTGAGATCGGGGAGACATTTCAATCCAGTTCCTAAAGGCAGTGGAGATGGTGGACAGTGGCATAAGCTAGGGTTACATGTTGTAACCTTCTGATAGAGTTGTAATTTGTGGATGACAAGTGAGGTACACACTAGGGAAGGTGATGTGAAGAAGTGGTGCAAGGGATGACTGGCAAGAGGTCTTCAGTAGCTGAAGCTAACGTTTACAGCATTTTGAGGTGGTGGTGATGGTAGCAGCTAGCGCAGGATTTGAAGTGGAGTGAGATTCTGAACTAGGGGTTCATCTGTCAGTCATAGTTCAGGCTAAATTTAGCTGCATCAGCCAGGGCAGTTGATAGAATAAAGTCCAGAAACACATGCGTGTGGGTGGCACCCAGGCAGCTTGGCTTCAGTTGTCTGATAATTAATTTTGAAGGGAAACCTCATAATATGGTCTAAATGTTAATGAATGTAGTGTGGAATTGGCAGAGCATGCCACATTAAATACAGAACGTTTCATTCATGGAGTTTGATCCTTAGACCTCAAACATTTGCTGTCATGGCATTCGTGTTGAAGATATTAAGATTTGATGACACTGCTGGACATTGATGGTACAGCTCCGATCTCTCTTTGAGCTGGAGTGAAATACATCAGCGACGGGAGACATTGTCTCTAACTTCCCAGTCTTCGAATGACGGGTTCGCACGTTCCGACTGTTTAAGCAACAAGCTCAAGGTGAAGATTCATTTAGACCAGAATGGGCGATCTCTGTACAGGCGATGCAGGAGAAGAGTTGACAGTGCCAAGACCAACTAGATGGTTGTCCATACCAGTATGAATCCAGAGTAGGCCATTCAGGCTTTCTGGGCCTGCTCTGCTGTTTAATAAAATCATGGTCAATCTGATTGTGATCTCTCCTCCAAATTCCTGCCTAATAACCTTTTGACTCTGTTCGTGAAGAAAGTCCAATGCACTGCCGCTACTCTGATTAAATGCAAATGTGTATGTTATTTTAAAAATCCTGTAATAGAAGGGACACTTTGGGTCTACAAACAAAAACAGAAAATGCTGCAAAATCTCCAGCATGTCTGTAGCATCTATGGAAAGAAATAAAGTTAACATTTTGGGTCCAGGGTCCTAACAATCTCATTGCTCTTGTCACAATTTCTGCGAGCATTTCTTTATCTAGTATTGTGTAATTGTAACTTAGTGTTGACATTCCCAGTTTGATTTTGCTGTTCTGAAGAAACCTTCCTGATCTGAAACATTACCTCCTTTCTTTCTCCACATAAGCTGCCAGATTTGAGTATCCCCAGCATTTTGTACTTTACTTCCAATTTCCAGCATTGGCAGTGTTGGGCTTTTTTGCTGTCAGGTATTATGTAGTTTCAGGTTCTGGGCATGGGGTGGTGCTGTTGGACAAATCTCCAAAGGCCCTTTTGAAATGCACAGAAAATACAAATGTACAGTGTCAGAGCTGACTTAAATTGAAATTTTGTAATGAGAACTGTACAGTTCACAACACATTCACCAGCTGCCAAAAATCCCATTTCCTACCTTCCAACATTTTATGTATTAAAAAGAAATCAACATGGTTTCTGGGTCAACAAGGTGCAGAGCTGGATGAACACAGCAGGCCAAGCAGCATCATAGGAGCAGAAAGGCTGACGTTTTGGGCCTAGACCCTTCATCAGAAAATGATGAAGGGTCTAGGCCCGAAA